TACTTTGAAAACATTTTACCTTTTAGAGAAGACTTATAAATGAGGATTTTGTACTTGTTCAAAGGAAGGGCAATTGTATTGGCTAACACCAACCAACATCAAAGTTTCATCACACACATCTCTCCATATAAAATTCTGTAATTCTGGTGTGTAGTTTTAACTTACTTTATCAGCATTTGGTTTGGCTGGATATAAAAGAAATTTAAAATAAAATTTTTTAAAAACCAAGGTAGAAGTTTATTTTTCTTCTCATGTTAAACGAGTCCGGAGGTAGGAAGTTCAGGTTTGGAAAAGCAGTTTCACAGTTGCAAATGATTCCGGCTCCTTCTCTTACCTGCTTTGCCAGTATTAGCTCATAGCTTCCATCCTCAAAGTTACCTCATGGTCTAAAATAGGCTACTGGAGTTCCATTCATCACATCTAAATTCTAGGAAGGAGGAAGGAAAGATGTGGAAAAAAAAAAGTTCCCATTGCCAAGCTAAGTTGACTTCCTTTAAGCAGGCTTCCCAGAAGTCCATGCCACCCTTGCCCTTACATATCTCTAGCTGGAACTTGATCCTATAGTTATACTTATCTGCACACAAGGCTGGGGAATGGATTCACTTATCTACTACTATAAAGAAGAGAGGGGCTATTGGGTAGAAATTCATACTGTGTCATATCTATTATATTCGGTGATTTCATGGAAATGTCATGCAGCTATTAAAAGAAATGAATGAGAACACTGCCAATTGACTTTGGGTAGATGTGGGTGGGGATTTCTATAGGATTGTTAGGTGAGAAAAGCAAAATGTATTGAAGTCATAAAATATAATTCCATTTTTGCATAACAGAGTATCTCTACATATGAATGTATATATGTATGCATATGTTATGTAAGTATGTGAATATGGAAACATTGAAGAGGCACACAAAATAGATTGTTAATGTGTTACATGGGTAAGGGGAGAAGGAATCTTTGTGTTGTTCCACTTGTTATTAGCAGCATGTGTTGTTTTTACAATTTGGAAAAGATAAAAATTATTTTTAAAAATGTGACAGTCTCCAGATCTAACCTTCATAATGTATTCTGACATATATGAAATTTTGCAGTATAAGTCAGTCTATGATGGATCCATTTCTAGGGGATCTAAGCAAAGAACTTAATAGGACATCAATACAAAGCAGTTTACCTAAGTTGCTTTTAAATATTTAGTTAGCTAAATTATTTATTTAGAGAGTACGTTAGCTAGGTAATTTAGGAAGAACATTGTATTCTTTTTGAGCTAATGAATGTTAACAAATGTTTATAAATATTTTAATATGAATATAAGGCAGAATAATATTACAATAGATGCTGAAATGTCTAACATTGATGAAATTAGACAAAATTATACTAACATTGATGAAATTAAACAAAATAACCTTTATGAATTATATTTAATGTTTACCTATTTAATTCCATTTAGGCCATGAATTTTTCATGAGAAAAGTCCTATTTGGAATTAGTCACACCTTTCAAGAATAAATCATTCTCATGTCAACTTGGCTTCATCAAAATTTCATGAGGAAAAACTTCAAAATCATGTACAAAAACATAACATTATAAAATTATATTTGATCCAGGCATAATAAAATGAAGAGTATAAAAAAATAAAGAAAAATAAATGAATCCCCTACCTACGGAAGCTGAATGTGAATGTCTATGTAGCATGGAAAATGTCCAGTGTAGTGAGACCTGAGAAAAAAGCTAACAGCTAGCAATGGTGTTATTATTAAATAATTATTGTATTATTGCTCCTCTACTATAAGGTAAAAAAAAAAAGACAGAAAGCCTTTCAATGGCTATTAAAGTTCTTAATAATGAAATTATAATAATTTTCAAAATAAAATTTGAGATTTAAACTTATATCTAATAGTTCATCCAATGATGGCAAAATTTGGCTTCTGCCTTGGTTGTGGCCAAATATTGATTTTCTATGACTAGATCATTTGGCATCTGGACAAAAGTGTATTAAGTGGACTGCTTAATGAAAATATCATATTGGATAAACAGTGGTTTACTGTTTTTACTACAAAAGGTCCTTTAGAAATACTAATAAGCATAATAATGACCTGGGGAGACTGTTATAAATATCAGTTCCTCTCTGAATAGTACCCCTGTCCCTCAATACTTGTTCTGAATCATGAATGGGCATCTAAACAAGCACACTAAGAGCTTTATCTGCATGTATTAATACCAGGCCCATGTTTTGAGAAACACTGCTGTAATAGAAAACTGTGTTTTAAATTTAATAACCACCATTATAAGCTGTCTTCATGTTTTTATAATAAAGGTAGGTGTGTGCAAATTGGCACTGTCATATATACATAGAGCCTGAAAAAGTTGTCTCATAATTTAGTAAATTAAAAACAACAAAAAACTAGAATATGACTGAAATCCCTGGTGTTGCACAACAATTTTCTTAGTATTGAAAAGTAGCATGAGAATCTGGTAGATGAATTTGTGAGCCTATTTTAACAAATATTTTAACTATTTTGCAAGGCTGGAGTGGTCTCATTTCTCTGTCTGTGGTGGAAGTATAGTCCAGGTGGAGAGTTGACATACAGGGATAAAGAGAGGTTTCAAATTGAAAAGTAGTAACCAATTATACTGAAAGGTTATAAATCCAATCCTTCAATGACTTCTCATGGCTTCCAATTCTTAAATTTATTTTCAGCTAAATGAAAGCAGCCATCTAAGTGATGTACTGAGACTCAGGTCAGGGTTAACATTATAGAAGATTTTAGTTCCAATTTCATAAGCCTATATATTGAAATAAAACCCCAAATGCAAACAAAACATTTCAATCACATTGTAAATCATTTTTCTGTCTTGGTTCTTTCAATCTTTAGCCAAAACTAGATCTGGGCCAGATTCCAGGGTAGGACAAAAATGCAAAATTCCATACTCACCATTCCTTTGATTATTTTGCCTTGAATTGAAGTGGATACTTGGCAGTTAGCTGCTAGGGTGCTCGAAATTTTCTGCTTCACTCTCTTCATTAATCAAGTTGACCAAGTAATTTCTAAACCTTCAGTCAGCTTTGTACCTTTCTGTTACTAGCCTAGTAGTGTAGTCTTCCTATGTCAAAAACTATGGACAGAAGAGTCCTTAAAACTAATTTAGACTGGCAACCAGTTTTGTTATCAAAACCACAAGGGGGTTTGGTCTAGGTCCAGTTACACATTGTACAAAAATTCAATTATTGAGATGATGAGGGTTGTCAAGGAAGAAAAGAATTTTTTGAAGTTATTTATTTAAGCCATCTCCTCCCATAAGCAAAGGGATGGAAGATCAGTATACTGATAATCATTTGATACAAGAAGGTGCGCTTTAGGTCCCTGTACACTTTTTATGGTCCATGTGCAGAGTAATGGTCTAAACCAATGCTGTGGTCCCCAGTGCCTAGGTAGTGGTCCAGGTTCTCTTTATTCATTTTCATAGTCAGCTGGAAGCAGATTTACATGGAGGTTGTGGAACAGGGTTATGGTTACCATCTCCCTAGCGAGAGGGCTTGGACCTGATACGGAGATGGGGGTAGGTGAGGAACCCAGGTCTCTTGTTATCTCCATGGTGTGACTTCAAGAAGACATTCAGCATGCTCACTCCCACCCCTGAGATCCACGAAATAGGTGAGGGCCTTACACATGTGAGCCGAGTCCTCCCGGTGCGGGTGCCACTGGACAGAGGCTGCTCCAACTGTGGGTGGGACTGACCCAGCACCCCGATAAACTGTGGATACGGCCCAGGCACCATTTTCCACCTGGACCTGGAAGAAAGAAGTTTTTAATATGACAGACATCTTGCAGGGAGAACGGGAAAAGCTGCCTCAAATTCAAATCCGTCTCTCTCACTAAGGGATATCATAGGCTTTTAAAGGAGGGATCATATTCCTTGGGACAGGTCTTGGTTTATCTCACAAGGGGCTACATACATTGGCGGCAGGTTGTGGGGGATGATGGATCTTGGCATTAGGAAGTCTGCCCTGGGTCCTTCAGAATCTCAACTTCTTTGTCTTGTAGGAAATCCATCATTTCAGGCTGGGTGTGAAGGCTCAAGTCAATAATCCCAGCACTTTGGGAGGCCAAGGCAGAAGGATCATTTGAGGCAATCATTTCTGGGAAACAACTCAAAGGGTCAAGTAGATAAGGGATTATAAAAAACATATAGGGGTTCATGGAACCAGCTACAGTTTGACAGCAAAGAAACTGAACCCATCACCCCTGGGGAGTTACCCAAGGTCCTATGGCTTAGTGGGTTAGTGGCAGAACCAGAACTCAAGTTCAGGGACTCTGACTCTGGGAAAATGAAGCTCTCGAGAGGTCTTCCAACACATTCCAACACATGTGAGTGATTCAGGATGGTTTTAGGAGAGGAGGAGCTGCAAAATCGAGGGACCCTTTGCCCTGACATAGGTCCCTACTGGCATTAGTTCTCACAGGCGGCGTGTAGAAAGAACACGTGAACTTCAGGCAGGTGCACTGGATTCCAGGCACTAATGAACCACGTGCCCTTAGTGAACGTGCCTAACTTCTTTATGGGAAAGCAGCCAGTACAAACCTCTCAGTCTAGTTGTCCAATATATGTTGGCCCCTTTCCTTCCCTCACTTGGGAATTATAAACATTAAAGGGAATAACGTACAGTAAATCATTCAGGACAGTGCCTGGAACATATTAAGGCTCAATATTGTAACGGGTTATTATTACACTGCCAGGCTTTCATAAAGTTTGCTACGTGCCAGGTAACGTGCTAAACACCTCGTGAAGGCCCCCCCCCGGCCCGAGACTGCGCATGTGCGCCCCGGCGCGTAACAGCACACCCTAGCGGTTTTCCCACGTAGGCACAAGCTCTGGCCCGAGGGCCTACCCCATTAAGCGCGAGGACCGCGGTCCAAGCGCGCGCTCTTTTGCGCATGACGTAATCCAGGGGCAGGGCCGGGGAGATGGGGGCGTTTGCTTCCGGGGCAAGGGCTCATAGTTTCCTGGAGAAGCCGGCACTGCGGGTATCCGCGCTTGTGTGAGGCGTTTGCTGTAACTTCCTAGCCCGGTGGCTTCGGTTCCAGTAAACCAAGTATGAAGATCACGAGGCAAAAACACGCCAAGAAACATCTTGGCTTTTTCCGCAACAATTTCGGAGTTCGCGAGCCGTACCAGATCCTGCTGGACGGCACCTTCTGCCAGGCAGCGCTGCGAGGCCGCATCCAGCTGCGGGAGCAGTTGCCCCGCTACCTTATGGGGGAGACGCAGCTGTGCACCACCAGGTGGGCCCGGCGGGCAGGGAGGAGACGCAGGGGGTCTGGCGGGTGTGGTAGCAGCGAGGCCTTTGCTTAGAGGCCTCCATTGCGAGCCCACGAGGTGCAAAACGCCCCGCCCACGAGGAGTTGACAAGTTAATTGGAGGCGGTTAAGGTGGTCAGGTGAATACCTGCGATGTAGGCTCAATGTACAGTGTCCTGGAAATATCACTTGTCGTTAGCCTGGCGAATAAGAATATGTGTTGTAGTCATATAGACCTGGCTTCAAATCTTGTTCCCAGGCCTACCAGCTCTATGATTTCGAGCAAGTTATTTAACCTCTCTGAACCTCGGATTCCTCATTTGTAGAGATCATAACCGCTTATAAGGTTCCTGTAAGGTCAAATGAGTATAGTGAACTAGAGCATTTTTCGGTATCTAAAACCTACCCCACTTTCAGTGGTTGATGTTTGAATAGCTTTTCTTAGTTAAACCGAAAATTTTCAAGCTTCACAACTGCCCTACGAGTTAACTTCCTTGATTCCCAGAATAAGAGTCAGTACTCGAGATTAAGCAATTTGCCCTAGGTCGTTTGTTTATTCGACTGGCTTTATTAAGTACCAGCCATATGCCAAGCATTGCTCCAGCCACTGAGGATGCTTTGTTGACTAGCACAAACTGCCAGCCCTTATGGCCGGTAAGAGTGCATAAGTCAATCTCCAATCGATGTGTTTTCACTTAGGTTTAATGTTTCCCTACTTCATCAAAGTGTGAGAACACTTAGGGTGGAACCTTGTGGGGATGGGAAGGTGGGAGGAGAGAATTGTGGAAGGTTTCCTAGAGGAGATAACGTTTGAGCCCTTTCACATATGCTCGGTCGTTCTGAGGTGGAGGACTATTTTGAATGACAGAAGAGTGACATTCCCTGTTGTGGAGACCTCTTGAAAAACGGAATGGAGTTATGAAATGCCTGGGGAAAAGGTTATAGCACAGAATATATTTGGAAATGAAGCTAGGAAGAAGGTAAATTGAGGTTAGATCACGAAGAACTATTAAGAAATTTAGTAGATTTTTTTTCATTGTAGAATATTTACTTTAGAAAAACAGTAAAATAAAATAAAATGATTCATCATACTACTACTCATGAGTAACCTCTGTTAACGTGCTGTATCATCCATCCAGTGCTTTATACACAAACACACAATCACAACAACGGGATTTTACTGTGTGTAGTATGTTGATGGTCTGCTTTTCTGACATAACACTACTCCATGAACAGCTTTCCATATTCGTTTCTCAAGCAGTGCCTCAACTGGGTTACAGATACTCCTAAATTTTTGATCTGCTTAGCCTTTAAGGGCTGTCAGACAAGTCCTTTGATAGCCTGTGCCTCTGAATTGGTTGTTTCTGACTGCAAGCAGTAGAAATATTAACATTTTTAATACAGTGCTGTGATGTAAAAAAGGTTGAGAAGTACTGCATGAAATTATATTTTACAGCATTTTTTTCTCAAAAATTTATTTTAACTTCTGGAATTTTTAAAACAACACAAAAGTAGCATAATATAATGAAGCACCTATCACCAGCTTTTGCAATTATCAACATGGCCAATCTTGTTGAACCTCCCACCTCCTTACTGATAGGTTATTTTAGAGCATATTATTCTGTCAATTCTGGTGTGTATCCTGAGGAGATAAAGAACCCTTTTTTAAATCTGTAAACAGGATACATACATTGTATTTGATTTCTATGTTTCTTAAGTTTTTAAAAAATTTTAACAGTACCCCCATTTTATGATTTGCTATTTATATTTTTAAGAGATCAGGTCATTTGTTTTTCAGTAGAATTTATTTCTTGACCACTAATAGTTAGATCTAGAGGGTTTACTCATATTTAGGTTTGAAGATATTTAGAGTTAATTGAGGAAGTGAATTAGTAGAATGTTACCAGGCCTGGGTTTTGTTTTAGAAAAGATAACTGCAGCAATGTAGGGGGTAAATTGGAGAAGCAATAGAGCAAAGACAGGCAAACCTGTTTTGTGGTTGTCCAGTCAGGAAATAATGGGAGCCTAAACCTGGGAGAGGAAAGCAGGAACCCAGGGGTTCTACAAGGAGACGTTAGTGAGATAGATAGGACTAACAGCTGATGGGGTAGGGGTAAAGAAGAAAAGGTCAAATATGATTTCTGATTTCCATCTAGGGTGTCTGGAAAAATAATAATTTTAAAGAGTTAGCAAGTCTTTAAGGGAAAATTTGGAGGCAGGAAAGTAGTTTGATTTTAGACATGGTAAATTTGATGAGCTGATGGCAGGACATGCATAAGAAATATTCAGTAAGTAGTCAGCAGTACTCAAAATGGAGGTCAAAACTGATGGCTACAGAAAGCAAAATCTCTTTTCTTAAAAAAACAAAAACTCAAAACTAAAGAAATGATAGAAGAGATGAGGCAAGGAAGAATCTGGCAAACGCTGGCTAGGGTTGAAGAAATCTTTGACTCATTGGTTCTCATAGTTTGTTTTTTTTTAGTGCAAGGGAAGAAGTGCCTGAGGAGCTTATTAAAATACTAATATTTGCCTCCTCCACAAGAGGTACAGATTTTTGGATGAGAGAAGAGTTAGAAATTAATACAATTTAATATCATATGTCATTCTGATATGGGTAGTTTATACATGAGACTTTGAGAAACATTGGCTTATATTAATGTGAAAATACAGAGTGGAAAGAAGTTGTGATTGTTTTTAAACCACCTGATGATGTGAGAATTTTTACTTTTCTGAACTAAAAATATTTTGAAAGTGTACCCATTTGTACTTGAAGTAGATCCCTATTACACTGTGGTTGGGGCAAGGGATCTGTTGTCCAGCTGCCTGGATTCATGTCTCAGCTCTACCACTTACTAGTTTGAATTTTGGAATGATACTTAAAATCTCTCAGCATGGGGTGCTCTAAAGTAAGGATAATTTTAAGGTACATTCCTTAACTTCGTGGGGTTATTTTGAGATTAAGCAAGAATTTATGTAAAGAGAATTTCTATGCTTCCTGAAACATAGTAAGTTCTCATTAAATTTTAACTCTTATTCTCTCTACTTGGTGTATGCATTTTCTAATTGTTCTTTTAAAAGTGAAACAGCTACCATATGATAAATTCAGATTGTAATGGTGTAGTTTTACTTTTTAAAAAAAGTATTGTTTTTATACTTGCTTCATGTAAACAACTGAAATATAGCTGTTATAATTGTGGGCCACTAATAACATTTTTTTTTTCAGATGTGTGTTGAAAGAGTTAGAAACATTGGGGAAAGACTTATATGGGGCAAAACTGATTGCACAAAAATGCCAGGTTCGAAATTGTCCCCATTTCAAGAATCCAGTGAGTGGATCAGAATGTCTGCTTTCCATGGTTGAAGAAGGCAATCCTCACCATTATTTTGTGGCAACACAGGTGATACTGCTTTGAAAACAAGTCAGTTTTAACCATTTCTATTTATATTTCATCTGGAGCTGTTTATAATCAGAAAAAATTAGGGGGGAGTGATATTAAAATGTTTAGACTTTTAAAAATAGAAACTTTCAATTTTCAATGAATAAAAGCAATTGTCATTTGGAATTTGAGGAGAGAACCTTAAGCATATTGATTTTCTTTTTAGTTACTGAAGTTTCCTTTTTTAAAATGAGAAATTTTTGACATAGAGATGTGATGATTTGTTGTAGGGTTCTTGAAGGGAAGATAAGTAAACCAAAGATCTTACATTCTATATTTCTTAATATTTTTTCATGTCTCTGTATTTCATCCTATTTCTCAAAAAGTCATGGTTCATAATTGTTTAAGACTACCACCAGTATGGAATGTTTCAGGCTTTTTTAAGACTGGGAGACCGGAGAAGAGAGACTCAGGGTTGTTATAGATTAAGTTTGCATACGCACAGATTTGCTTAAATATACTTTCTGAGTTATGAAATTACACAGAGGCAGAGCTGAATCTAGAATCTGAATCAGCTAATTCCCACTTAATTCCAATTCCTTCAACTTCTTTGAGCATTTTTGACCCTTTCCAAAAATGTCTTAGGGGTAGTGACAAGGCAAAACATCTAACAGTTTACTTTTGCATTAGTTTGTAATTTGTGGCCCTAGAATATTCATAAATCCAGTTCACACTGTTGCTACTTACACTGTGCTCAGTTTTTATGTTTTTCTTCCTTTATTTACTATAAAATATACCCCCATTAGTGAGACATACTGATTGGAAAAATAAAACCTGTGACCTCTTTTATCTTTAATATAGCCCTTTTTAAGTTTTTAAAAACCTATTTAAGGCCAAGTGTGGTGGCTCATGCCTGTAATCGCAGCACTTTGGGAGGCAGAGGCAGGAGGATCACTTGAGGTCAGGAGTTTGAGACCAATCTGGGCAAGATAGCAAGACCTCATCTATACAAAAAATTAGCCAGGTGTGTTGGTGCATGCCTGTAGTCTCCTACTGTGGAGACTGAGGCAGGAGGATCGCTTGAGCCCAGGAGTTCAAGGCTGCAGTGAGCTGTGATCGTGCCACTGCACTGCAGCCTGGGCAATAGAGCAAGACCCTGTTGCAAAACAAAAACAACAACAAAAAACCTATTTAAGGCACCTTAGCTTAGTTGACATTTGAACTAAATAAATCTATTTTTCTTTTTAATAGGATCAGAATTTGTCTGTGAAAGTAAAGAAGCAGCCTGGAGTTCCTCTCATGTTTATTATTCAGAACACTATAGTCTTGGACAAACCTTCTCCCAAAACAATTGCCTTTGTTAAAGCAGTAGAGTCAGGTCAGCTCGTGTCAGTACATGAAAAACAAAGTATCAAGCAGCTCAAAGAGGAACAGGGTTTATTGAAAAACTCTGAACAAAGAAGAAGGAAAAAGCACAAGAAAATCAGTGGCCCCAATCCTCTTAGCTGTTTGAAGAAAAAGAAAAAGGCACAGGACACAAAATCAACTGCTTCTGAAAAGAAAAGAAAAAGAAAAAGAATCCGGAACAGATCTACCTCAAAAGTACTTTCTGAGAAGCAGAATGCGGAATGATAATGAATCCTTTGGCTACTTTTAAAGACATTCAAATGTGAAAAATGAATTTATTTTTGAAACTGTAGAAGTATTTATAATAAAAGACTAAACTTATTTTTGTAAATATTAACCCATAAGCCTTGCCTAAAATTATTTGTAAAATAAAAAGTGAATGGGTTTATGTGTGATAGTGTTCACTTTTCTTACTTAGTGGTTTGGGGAGGTTGTTTTTAAATGAAAAATTATTGTCTCCTTCTGTGTTCCCCCACTCCCACCCCCAAACATTATATGCAAATACAGTCATGAACTGAGTAACAATATTTTGTGATCCGTGAGGCGCAGCATATATGGTCATGGTCCCATAAGATTGTAATGCAATTTTTTTTTTTTTTTTTTGAGACAGAGTCTCACTCTGTTGCCTGGGTGAGCGCTGTGGTGTCAGCCTAGCTCACAGCATCCTCAAACTCCTGGGCTCAAGCAATCCTCCTGCCTCAGCCTCCCAAGAAGCTGGGACTACAGGCACACACCACCTTGCTAAGTTTTTCTATTTTTAGTAGAGAGAGGGTCTGGCTTTTGCCCAGGCTGGTCTCAAACTCCTGAGCTCAAGCAATCCTCCCTCCTCGGCCTCCCAGAGTGCTGGGATTATAGGTGCGAGCCACTGCGCCCAGCCTGTAATGCAAGATTTTTACAGTATGTTTTCTGTTTGAATACATTTAGATATACAAATACTGTTGTGTTAGAATTGCCTACAATATTCAGTACAGTAACATGCTATACAGGTTTGTAGCCTAGGAGCAGTAAGCCACATAGCCTAGGTGTGTAGTAAGCTGTACCATCTAGGTTTGTGAAAGTACACTCTCATCACCAAATGACAGAATTTGCCTAATGATACGTTTCTCAGGATGTATCCCCATCATGAAGTGATGCGTGTTTAGTTTAAAAAATAAAATACAGCTGTCCTTCAGTATAAGTAGGACCCCTCTCCCTCAAGGTTACCAAAATCTGCATACTGAAGTCCCACAACACCGTGGAACTCATGTATACAAAATGTCAGCCCTCTGTATACACAGGTTTTGCTTTCTGAGAATACTGTGTTTTCCATTTGAGTTTGGTTGAAAAAAAATTCACATGTAAGCAGATCTGTGCAGTTCAAACCCCTGTGGTTCAAGGGTCAAATATAGTTCTAAAAGACTTGGAACAAAAAGAGGCAGTCCCTCTTTTCACATGCACAGAGGAAAACAACTCTTTCAACTCTTCTAGTAGTTGTAGAATTTACCTTTACACTTCAAATTATGTGACTATACTGCTAAAAATTAGCCCATTACTTAATTGACTTCCTACCAAAAAGCAAAAATTTTGCTCACATACTCCTCCCCCATTTTTTGACATATACTTTATAGATCACAAATTCAGTATTTTCATTATTATGATAAGTTGATACTGATTGTTGAGCATTGTTCACTGGTAAAACAAGTAGCATGCAATGATTATTATTTTGTTATTCCTGAAGTTAATGGCCTCATTATTATTATTATTTTTTTTAGCATTTTAATCTTGCCACATTCTCCAGTAACTGTAAAGGACCTCACAATATAATTTTCTATATGATCGTACCCATCAGATAACATCAGGTCATTTTTTTCCCCTGGAGATACTTCTGGATCCCTCTGATGTTCTCCAATCTAGAAAGGTTTTCTGCTGAGCATGTTGCTCAGCTATCACCTGGGCACGTCTTGCTCTTATCCAAAGAATTTGCTTTTGTCACTTTGATTTCCTAGATACTTTCTTGCTGTAGTGGGGCATAAAGTGCATAGGAAATACATTTTTTGAGCTCCAGTGTATCTCTACCCTCATGTTTGTTGCACTAATAACCTAGCAAAATTTAGGGTTCTTGGCTGAAAATAATTTTACTGTTTCCTTTAAGAACCTTTTAATTGTTTACAAGGTGCTGGGGGAAAATTATTTTTGATTTCCATTTGTCCAATAGGGATGATGATTTTCTTTTGGATGTAAATATTAACTTCAATAGCAAGAATTCCAAAATAATACTCTAAGATTATGAATATGTTATTGAAAAATGTCTAAATTAGCCTGAGGGTCAATTTAATTAGGAATTGGATAATCAAACTTGTCTCTCTCAGTACCCCCCTGTCCCCGCAGTTGTTTTCATCATCCATCAGGCTAAAATTGCAATGTTTTTGCACTGTGTGATTGAAGTATAAAGTGGTTGAAAGTGAAATCTGACAAATAGCTCCTGACGTGGAGCTTCCTGTGATACCTTAGAGCAGTGGTTCTTAGTCTTCCATTAGATGATGATCAGGTATGACATATATCATGAGTAAGTTCTTATTAATGGTTAAATGATGTTTCATAAATGTAAGAGAATTTGAATTCAGAGATGCTGCTTTGGTGGAAGGTGCGATTATAGCTTTGCATTAGTGAGTGACACAGACTGTATTATCTGGCAAGCCAAGGTAGTGTTTGGATTGCAATTTCGTGATTCTGTTTTAAATTCTTAACATTAGGAACATTTTTTAATAAGGAAGGCAAAGATACTAGAAAAAAGTGAATGCAATTCTATAGTTCCTGTGAAGAAAGATAGCATTCGTCAATAATGATGAGAGGGTCACCTAATCAAATGTAGACAAAGTGTTAAGAAGATGAAATGTAAAGGTATTCCTTTTTAACAAAACTTATTCATTTTTTTGCAGACAGGATCTCGCTGTCACCCAGGCTGGAATGCAGTGATGTAATCATAGCTTACTGCAGTCTCGAATACCTAGGCCCAAGTGATCCTCCCACCTCAGTCTCTCAAGTAGCTAGGACTATAGGCATGCACCATCACACCGGCTAATTTTAAAAAATTTTTTGTAGAGACAGGGTCTCGAGATGTTGCCTAGGCTAAAACCGATTTATACTTATTCAGTGCTATCTGATTGTCTATTAATAATGTCTATGAACTAGAGAGCTGGAAAAATCAACTCATTTTTATGAAATAGTAATTATTAAAATATTTAAAAATATAATGTACTATAAAGTATATTTAATATTTTAAAACTGATTAGTCCTATGTTTTTCCAGTAAAATTACTTGAAAAGCTATTTTAACAAGAATTTCATATCCTTGTATTACAATTCTTTTGTGAATACTACCCTTATACCACCATCCCTCAAATCCACATCACCACTTGCTTTATTTTCTCCATACAGCTTGTGGAAGGGAGTCATGGGAGTATTCACATGTGATCATAAACCATTTTGTTGTTTGAGAAAAGAAAATGTTAACCTCTGAAGTTCATAGCCTTGAATGCTTACATCAAAAAGATAACAAATTAATAACCTAAAGTCACATGTCAAGGAACTAGAAAAAGAACAAACCAAACCCAAAGCTAGCAGAAGAAAGGAAATAACAAAGATCAGCGTGTGACTAAATGAAATGGAAACAAAAAGAAAAACAATACAAAGGATCAATGAAACAAAATGGTGTTTCTTTGGAAAGGTAATATCGATAGACCACTAGCAAGATTAACCAGAAATAGAAGAGAAAGGACTCAAATAAACTCAACCAGAAATGAAAAAGGAGACATTACAACTGATACCACAGAAATACAAAATATTATTCATTACTATGAAAACCTCTACACACACAAACTGGAAAATCTAGAGGAAATGGACAAATTTTTGGAAACACACAAACTTCCAAGCCTTAATGAGGAAGAACTAAAAATCCTGAACAGACCAATAATGGGTAATGAGATTGAAACAAGTAATTAGAAATCTCCTAAATAAAAAAGCCCTGGACCAAATGGATTCATAGCTGAATTCTACCAGACTTACAAAGAAGTCAACTACTCTACTGAAACTGTTCCATAGCATTGAGAAGGAGGGAATCCTCCTAACTCATTCTACAAAGCCAGTTTCATCCTGATACCAAAGCCAGGAAAGGACACAACAAAAAGGAAAAAAAAAAAAAAAAAGAACGAAAACTACAGACCAATATCTCTCTCATAAACATACATGCAAAAATCCCTAACAAAATACTAGCAACCTGAGTCCAATAGCACATGAAAAAGATAATTCATCATGATCAACTGGGTTTCATCCCAAGGATGCAAAGATGGTTCAACACACACAAAATAAATGTGATTGACCACATAAGTAGAATTAAAAAGAAAAAAGTATATCATCTCAATAGATGCAGAAAGACCATTTGATAAAGTCTAGCACCGCTTCATGATAAAAAAAACACCCTCAACAAATTAGGCATAGAAGGAACATACCTCAAAATGAATAAAATCCATATATGACAAACCCACAGCCAATGTAATATTGAATGGGGAAAAATTGAAAGGATTTCCCCCAAGAACCAGAACAAGACAAATGTGCCCACTGTCATCATTTCTATTCAACATAGTACTGGAATTCCTAGCCAGAGCAATCAAGCAAGAGAAAGAAACAAAGGGCATCCAAATTGGGAAAAAGGAGATTAAACTATCCCTGTTTGCTGACAATATGATTTTATATCTAGAAAACCCTAAAGATTCCACCAAAAGACTCCTAGAACTGATAAATAAATCCAGTAAAGTCTCAGGTTACAAAAGTAATGTACACAAATCAGTAGCATTTTTATATATTAATAACAATCAAGCTGAGCGTCAAATCAGGAACTCAGTATCATTTATAATAGCTGCAAAGAAAATAAAGTGCATAGGAGTATATTAATACATAACCAAGGAGGTCAAAGAGCTCTACAAGGAGAACTACAAAACACTGATGAAAGAAATCATAGATGACACAAACAAATGGAAAAACATCCCATGCTCATGGACTGGAAAAATCAGCATTGTTAAATCGTCCACATTGCCCAAAGTTGTTTACAGATTCAACACAGTTCCCATCAAAATACCAATGTCATTTTTCACTGATCTAGAAAAAAGAATGCTAAACTTCGCATGGAACCAAAAAAGAGTTTGAATAGCCAAAGCAATCCTAAGCAAAAAAAACAAATCTGGGGGCATCACTGTACTTGACTTCAAATTATACTATAAGACATGGTACTGGTGGTATAAAGGTAGACACATAGACCAATGGAACAGACTAGAGAACCTAGAAATAAAACC